ATCGTCTTTGCAGAGCCAACTCGATCAAGCACAGGCATCGCACAAGACACAGGTGGGCAAGTTGGAAGAAGTCAGTAGGGAATGTGCAAAGAGCACCGAGGCATTTGCAGCCGAGGCAAAGAGTCTTGCGGGTGCGGTGGCTACAGCGGGGAGGGAGAGAGATGAATCTAAGGCTGAGCTCGCGCTCTTACGGAAGCAGCAGAACACGAAGCAAGCTGAAACGGCTGTCTTCGCGAAGAAAGCGAAAGACCTAGAGGAGAGCATGGCGAGGGTGCAGCAGACGCAGGAGGGCTGCTCATCTCGAGTGATGGAGGCGGAGGCGCAGCTGGAGGAGGCGCAGAGCGCGCTGAAGACCAAGACAGACGCGAATCAGAAACTGGTGGTTGATGTCAGGACCAGCGCTGACGCTATGAGCAAGTGTCTGAGGGAGACGAAGCTGCTGAAGGACAGGTACGCGTTGGCAATCAGGCGCACGGAGGAGCAGCAGGCGATGATAAAGAGTCTGCAGGCCATGAACGACGAGGCTGCCAGCGTCATCCAGCGACTCAAGAGAAACCCGCTCCAGGTTCTATTGGCGAAAGTGGCTTCGCTGAAGTCCTGGCTGTTCAGATGTTTGTTCCGGAAGAAGTGAACGCAGAGCAAATGCAGAGCAAATGCAGAGCAGATTCTTTTGCATATTCCGCCGTACGTTCCGATGTGTAAAATGTTAAAGTTATGAACAAGTGAACCAATGTGTACATGCCTGAGGCTGCCCGCACTACGGGACAGACGCAAAACTGCGCGTCGTGTCTCTTCTCGTAGGATGCGGGCACTGCAGGCCTTTTATCGACATTCTCTTACTATTCCGTTACTATACGCCCTGCGCTTGCTTCTCCTCCTCCGTCGCCTCCTCTCCCTCGGAGTCGCCTGTACTGCCACTGCCGCCCTCGGCCGCACTGGTCTCTGCTTCGCTGCTCTGTCCCTCAGGCTGAGCGGTGCGCGCCTCCTGGGGTGGGCCCAGGCCAAGGTGAAAGCCATGCCTGGACGCCACCAGGCGGATCTTCAGCACCGCCCAGCGCGCAAAGCTCTGCCCGCAGTGGAGCAGCTGCAGGGTGTTGTCGCGCAGAGAGCGCTCCTTTATGGTCTGCAGGTCGGCACGCACGTGCAGAGCGAAGTCGCGCAGCTGTGTTTGCGCCACGGCCACGGTGGCGTTCAGGAAGCGCACCGCGTCGATCAGCACTTCGCGGAAAGTGGGCGGCACGACCGTGATGGCGTCGCAGCTGGGGCAGATGGTGTGCCGCAGGTCCAGCGTGACGAAGTTGGGAGTCGTGTACTGCGGATGGGGGTCAGAGGAGGGAATGTTAGTGACAGCGGACAGCAGCGGTGGTGTTGACCTCACCTGTTCGAGGAGCCAGTGCATGGTGGAGTTGACCCAGTAGTAGGCGTACGGCACAGTGGACAACTCTAAGCCCCCGAAGCTGCTTAGCGTGAAACCCATCTGGGGAGGCTGCATGAATGACACCTACCGGAATATGTCATGCAGGGAGACGGGGGTTGGGGGTAGGCATTAGAGCAGGTGTGCGTGCAGGGACATCAAGGTTGGCGGTGCACTCACCTGTGCGTCGCCAATGAAGGGGTAGTCGGGGGTTAGCTGCAGCCCCAGCCTTAGCTGGCCGGACAGGTGCACCTCGGACAGGGTCACTGTCATCTCGGGCACGAGGCTCTTGAGGTCGTTCGAGCGAAGGGACAGCACGACGTCCATGTCCCGGGACGCGTAGACCAGATCCAGGTCCAGCACCACGCGGTCGCAGCTTGCGCTGAACTGCTCCAGGAATATGGGGACTTCTCCGGATCTGTCGGAATTATCGTCCGGCTGCTCCTCCTGCTGCTGCTGGCTCTGCTTCCTGAGGGGGTTCATGTTGATAGCCGTGCTTTTCTCCTGGATGAAGTGAAAGATGCTGCCCAGCACCTGCGACAGGTTCCGGTCTGCGTAGAGGTCGGGGTTCAGGAAGTTCGTCTTCCCTGCGAGAAAGCCAAAAGTGCTGCCCTTGTGCGGCCGAGGTCCCTCCTCTTCCTCCCAGGAAAAGCTGCTGTTCCCCCTCGCTGCACTCCTACCGCTACTGCTCCCGTTACTGCTATTGCTCCCTCTACTTTCATTGCTCCCGCTCCCAATACCGCTATCAATACCTTCGCTGCTGTCGCTGCTGTTATGAACGTGGTACGGCTGCTCGGAATCGCCCACAGGGGAGGAGGCGTGTGCATGCGCATGCTCAGGCTCGCTCTCCGCCTTCCCGCCCTCCTGGAATCTAGGGCTACTCTGACCCGAGAATGTGCTGTTCTCTGACGCGTACTCGTGGAAGGGATCGGCGGCTACTGCCTCCGCGATGCAGGTGTAGTTGCGCGTGACGGTCACTCGCACGCCCTTGAGCAGGGGGCAGCTGTGGCCCAGCTCAAACCTCTTCAGCCGCGCGTTGGCCACTCCGGGGGGTATCTTGGCCAGCTCAGCGTTGACCATCTCTGCGTACATGTCGCTGATGTAGGGGCCCAGGCCGCCAGTGCTGAAGTCGCCGTCCAGCACCTCCCACAGCGAGAGCAGCACCCCGTTGAACCAGAGGGCATCTTCGAACACCACCTGCGCCCCCATGTGCGCATCCCCAGTGTCCCCCTGTCCGCTGGAGGCCTCGACGCTCGGCCTGCGCGTGTCGCGGAACTTTTGCGCGGTCCTGGGGCTGGGGGACGAGGCGTTGCCCAGGAAGAGGCCCTGGCTGCGGCCCGCGCTGCGGCTGTGCTGCTGGGTCTGCTGCTGCAGCAGCGCGTGCACGGATGTCACTGCTGTCTGCTGGATCAGGCGGCTGCGTTGCATGCTCTCGGTCGTGATGAAGGACACGTATAGCACGGAGCTGAAGGTCACCATCGTGGCTAGGCGCATGCGCACGTTGGGGAAGGGCAGCACGCTCAGCAGGGAGGTGGCGGACATGGCCAGCATGAAGAAGGGACCCTGCGAGGGCACGTCGATGCGCGCGTTGAGCTCGCTGGCCTCCATCATCGTGGCCGCCAGCTGCTGGGACAAGGAGCCCATCGTAGAGAAGACGTCAACCACGATGCCGCACAGTATTTGCGCCTCGTTCACGGCCACGTAGGGCAGTTCATGCACGAGGTAGCGAAACGATTCCCATATCGCAACGCTGCTACGAGCCCCACTCCTGTCAGCATCTGATTCGCTTGCAGCCCCGCCGGCATTGTCTACGTCCTCTTCGTCAGGCACAGCAGCATCCTCGCCGCTCTCCGTGGGCGCACCGTCGAGGGGCGACCCACTGCTCCCCTCCCCCGCATCATTCCCCGCACCCTCCCTGCTCCCGTTCTCGTGAAAAGAAGAATTCGCTGCGAAAGACAGATCAGCAGGCGCAGAGTCTGGGGTGACTTTATCTGCACTGGAGTCTGCTGACCTCTGTGCCTCGCTGAGACCCACAGGTCTCTCTGCCGGACCAGGGATGGATGGGCGCGAGCTGTTATTGGGGATGTCCTCTGCTGGCACATGACAGGCGCTGCTCGCGTTATGCGGCGCCCCATAGGCGGGTGTGGTGGTGCTACGAGCGGGAGGAGAAGTGGGGGGCTTGTGCTGGTGGTCGATGCGCAGCAGGTACTGCACCACGCTGTTGCTCGAGTTGCTCACCACCTCCAGACCCCAGAAGGAGTCCTGCAGAGCCTCGCCCAGCCCCAGCGTCATGGACTCCAGTATGTCGCCCGTGAAGATGCAGGCCTCGCCTACTCCGCGCAGCAGGGCGGCGGAGCTGCTCAGGCCGTGCGAGCACTTGCCGCTCACGTCGCCCAAGAAGTTGCGAGAGGCGCGCACCCACGGCAGCGGCTGCGAGGTGTTGGAGGATAGCAGGAGGATCTGCTTGTTATGGTAGGCCTCCAGGTGTGTTGATAGAAGCAAAAACACGTTGGCAGCGAGGTTGAAAATGCCTCCTGTGGTCTTCACGACACCGCTGAGCACGCCCGCGAGTGTGTCGCCGCAGACTCGTATCAGACCTGACAGGACGCGGAGCGACTTTCGTATCGTGCGGAACAGGTGGACGAAGACATACTCAAATAGCACCGCGTCCTCCTCATCAGCAGACGAGGCTCGCGAGAACTTGAAGGCGCTCTCCTTCTTCCCCAGATGTGCCCTGACGCTCTTGCTGCCCTGCACCTTCCCGCTGCTCCCACCGCCCTTCTTACGCAGCTTGACGAGCAGATGTTCGTCATCTTTGTTTAGCACCCGAGATTCGGTAAATAACCGTAGCCATGTCAACAGCACCGCTAGTGTGATCAACTGCTTCTTGAAGCGCATCGTTTTGCAGATCTGTTTGGCTTGCTGACATAGACTCTTCGCCAAGCCTTACCGCGCCTCACTCAAGCTGTTGCAATACCGCCCAGACGCAATATCAGTAAAAGAGCACTCCCAGATCGGTACATGAGACACATCAACAGTTGTTAAATTGACATCCAAATGTCCTCCACTTTTCCTTCACAACGCGTGTCATCCAAAAAGTCAACCCTTTTGACCGTTACCGGTAACAGGTATGAAAATGCAACAAGAGTTCGAAAATTTTCGTTATGAGCACTGCAACAAGAGTTCGAAAAATTCTTGTTGCCAACAAGAATTGCCAACAAGAATTTCTCGAACTCTTGTTGCAATTTGACACGCGCTCTTTACAGACCTTAGACTGCATTCTAGAGGCAGCCTGCACCAGATGCATGTCTCGCAGAAAATTCATTAGTATTTGCCATGAATACGAATTCTACAGATACTTTGATGCTGTACTCATAGCAAATTGCCGGAACATTTTTACGATAGAGATTACCATTTTTGGTACAAAATATTGATTTCCAATTACAGTACGTTAGTTTCCTTATTAGGCTGATCAACACTAAATCCTACTCCCGATGCGCTGTGATGTGCTTTATCACCAAGGGCCCTGGGTGCCTTCTAACTTATTGAGAACAAAAAAGGAAAAAAATACGAAAAAAAAGGAAACTACTCATAGTGGGGTTCGAACCCACGACCTTCGCCGTGTAAAGGCGACGTAATAACCGCTATACAATACGAGCAAGAGCGCGAAATCGCACCATTCCAATTGGAGGAAATCGCAATGTATATAAAGAAGGTAAAACACCAGAGGGCCCTGATTCCTGAAATCTGCTCTCGTTGTGTTGTGTCGAGAGGAATGATGATTGCTGCCTCCAATGTTGTCTTGGACATGGATGCAAGAACATCATTGCTTGTTGAGATCTCTGGAATCGTGAATCGGGACTGGTGACAATGGTGGAGAGGTCCATATAATCCAGCTTGCGACGCAGGTCGATTCCTGGCTTCTCTCCCTGCTTCCCTGCCTCCCTGCTTCCCTGCCTCCCTCCTTCCCTGCTTCTCTCCCTGCTTCCCTGCTTCCTTGCCTCTCTCTCTCTGACGCAATCCAACTATGGGCCCGCCGAAGAGAGGTCCGAAGAGAACACCATACTCGGAGATCAAGCGGAGATACGATAGCTTCGAGTATAGATGGAGCAAAGAGTCGAAGAGCTACTACATGTTCAATCCCTGGACGGGAGAAACCATCTTTGACACGAACTTGGAGATGCTGGATCGCAGAATGTCCATGTGGGCTGAGCCGGATTCGATTCCATCGATGAAGGCGCAGAACGCAGTTCTCTACCCCGAATTTTACGCAAGCCGACGCTGGGGCAGGAGGCGCTTCCCAGGGTGGGACTCGGACGACGCGGCCGCAACCCACATCGCATCGGTGGCGAGGGGATTCCTGGCTCGAATGTGGATGAGAAGGTACTATAGAGCCAGGTTCCACACAAAGAGCGACAAGTTTTCGGGATACTATTACTTTGTCGATTCGCTGAATCCAGATTTGGATACGACCTGGTTCAAGCCGCGACTAGCCTTCCCAGGCGACGTGCTTCTTCTGAAGGAAGAAGATGCCTTGGACTATATGAAGGGCGAGAAGTACTCAAGGCAAGACTTCAAACTAGGCCCTCTCTTCAAAGTTTCCGGACTGAACCGAGCAGATAAAGTGCGATCTGAACTTACGGCGTTCTATGTGGAGAACCCTTGGAAGACGCAGGCGATTCGGAGCTACGAGGAAATTGATCTCGAGAACACTCCGATTGGCGCAGTGGTTTCGTGGATGGATGGCGAATTCGCCGGCGAGCTACGAATGACTCCCTTCACCTTGGTTCGCACTGCTTTGGCCAATGAAGGGTGGGCCGGTGTTCTGCGCGTGATGGACGAAGAGGCTGACAATTTCATCGTGCAGCTGTACGGGATCCATTCTTTCGCGAAGACAGATGTACCGCTGGATGTCTCACTCTTGCTGGACTACTCGGCCAGTGGAGCGATGATCCACTCTTTCAAAATTATTAAGGACGAAAAGAGGATATATCCCGTGCTTCTGAAGATATTTGCTCTGGAAGCACTGCACAACATATTGTACCAGAGGGCAGGGCGCCTCGAATTCATTGACACGAGTGGCGTACCGGAGCAGGGCGAGCTGCGCCAGGCAGCAGTTGAGAAGTTTTTTGAGGAAAAGTTCTCCACGTTTGTAAGGTCAGTCCACTCCAGTGGTACAAGTGATGAAAATAATTGTCCATTAATATCAGCCTCGTCTCCTTCTTATGACAGGTACTTATCGGTAATCCCCAACGAAACTTTGACTGTTTTCCGGAAAAACGATGTAGTCCCAGAAAAGATAACGCAACCTCTACCGAGGTCGGTCGATATGGTAACGGCAGTTTTGAAGGTACGTCGCGAGAAATATTGCCCTCATTTATTCTATCTTCCAGCATTCTATAACCATGTTTTTCCCCCTGCTCTTAGTGCCTTTGCCTTATTGCACAGGAAAATGAGTCCAAGGAACAGCTGTCCATGATTGTGGTCCAGCCGGTTCTATTCGCCCTCGAGGTATGATGCGACTCTCTGCAGATATGCTGACGTACGTACTCCAACTGCTTATTTCTCACCTTTTCCCCCTCGCACGTTATTCCCAGATTTGCCAAGAGGAGCCCCTGGTCACCATGTACGGCCTGCAGCTCTTCTATAACCTCAGCTATCGGTACGGACTATCGAGTGCCAGATGCCACATTCCTATCATTGCGGTGTATGCTAATTTCTCCACCTTTCCTTCCTCATGTCATCTGCCTAGGTGTGAGGGCGGCCAAGTAACGATACTCGCGTACCTTAATGTTAACACGTTTTACACCCGCATTCGCCACCACCACTCCGGTGACCCAGAAGTAATGACGCAGTGCCGGCGGTTGGAGTTGGCGCTCTTGCCTTTCGGCTGGAGGGGCCACGTGGAGGAGTTGCTGACGAGAGAGATGATGAAGGAGAGGCGAGCAGAGGGCAGGATCAGAGTAACCGACAAGGAGGCTGAGGGCAAGAGTCAAGAAGCCGAGCTCCATGAAACGGAAGATTACGGCGAAAATCAAGACCCGCATGGGCATAGTCACAAATAGATTTTAATGGTTATTCTTTCTAAGCAATGAGACTACACTCTACTTCCGACGGTTCCTTCCCGCCTTAGGCAGATTGTGCTGCTTCTCATTAGAAGCGTTGAGGCTGCTCTCTATGACCGCTTTGACGCCCAAGACGAGGCATCGAACAATAGAGGAACTGGTACTATTGTTTCCTTCAGCACTGTAGCTGGTTTCGGAGGCTTCTCCGTCCACTTCCGTAGTGGTGTCTCCGGTCTCGAACTTGAAATATCCTGCCCGAGCCGCGCACTCCATAAACTCAGGGAATGATATCTGGTCCGGATGGGGTTTCTCCCCCTCCTCCGGGTCGAACTCTGTTCCAAATATAGTGCTTTTTCTGATATCCAGCAGAAGAGTCCTGGTTTGCTCATGGTCGTGCTCAGCCAGAGAAGCCTTCACAAACAAATCCGTAACTTCTTCGACAGGTAACGAGGTGGGCACATCCTGCAGTTTCGTCGCACTCTTGTTGAACACCTGCTGAAGATCGTCGTACATTAATCGCAGTGCTGCCAGGCACTCGTCGGAACAGAAGGCGTACTTGAGCACGCTCTGGAGTTTCAGCCGCTCTGCCAAGGGATTGAAGTTCACACGGAACAACTCAGACAACGCCTCGTGAGCATTCATTTTAGCACCACCTGCCTCCAGCGTATCGTTGAACTTCACTTGCGCTGACAGGAGCAGGCTGACAATCAGATTGGTCAGGGAAAACTGTGCTGAGGTGGTGTTGCAGTACTTGCACGTGCGGGAGTATATTTTGGCGCACTGCGTCGAGCTGTTCGTTGCAGGAAACAGTTCCGCGTCGTCCAGGAACGAGAAGAACTGATCTTTGTCTAACGTGTCGTCCTTTTGGTAGAACGTGTAGATGTCGGAAAGGACGTCCCAATGAACCTCCAGCACTTGCTTCAAAGAGGCGGCATCGTCCACCAGAAGGAGAGGGACAGCCTCCACGATACTGGGCCAGACGGCGTCAATCTTCTTCGCAATTGTTTTAACGTCGATTACTTGACTGTGAAGAATGACTCTCATGAAAGCGGCACGAGCCTTTAAGATAGATGATTCTTCCTCAATCACTCTGTCAGGCGCTTCTGATTCATCGTCTCCTTCACGCTCTGATCGGGTTGAGTTGAGCGCCGGGTTCTCGATGTTCGATGTGGAGAATGCAAGCAACGACCATTTCGAATGAGAGGCAGAGCCAGTAGAGGCGACGACTGATACCTTGCTGCACAGCCGAACTGTAACCTCGTCTCCATCCTTCAGATCGCTGTCGAAGATCATGATACCGGGATGCCCAATCTTCCCGCCAGGCATATACACTTGATCAACTTGATACTGAACGTTCTCCGATATGCCGCAGAAGTCGTCTCTTCTCCTCAGTGCCCCATTGGGAGCAGCGTTCGAGTACCGCTGGCTCGCCACGAGTCCCAGCCATTTGATCGTTTTGTCGCCGGTGCCGCAGGGAATATTGAAAGTGCGTTCGTGCGAATCGAATACGACCTTCGCGAGGATCTTCATCCTCTTCCTTCTCTTCTACTCAACGGCTGGACGCTCGACAGATGAAATGAGGGCCTAAAGGCACCAAAGGACGAAGCACCGCGAAGAGATTGATAGTGACTATCAATCTCTTCTCGCAGCATCACATCCACGACCAAATGTCTGCTAATGTCTGCTTTTTGTGGCGAAACCGCCGAAAATCGGCGGTTTCTTTCGGGAAATCGGCGGGAAGTCAGGAGGCTAGTTTTGCCTGACGTCTTGATGGTTGGGCCCTCCCCGCCTGAGGTGTCATGCTCAGGTCTGCCTTGCGCTTATCGCCATAATCTGGATCGCTCCCTTGACTTGCGACGTCAGGTCAACCTTTCCGATCAGCGAAGCGCAGGCACCATGAACAATTCCGTCCGCATCCTCCCCCACATGCCTAGAGGCCTCTGCTGCAGCTTCGTCACAGTAGCAGCAGGTAATCTTCGAGCCGGCACGTGCGATGTTGAGCTGGGCCCTTCGGGTGCTCCTAGCGGTCAGCTGCATCAGGAGCTGGCGATTTGGGGTACGGGCTGCTCCGTCTAGCATATGCGTGCTTCCGAGCGGAGTCCAGGTGACGGGGCCCACCGATTGCTCCTCGGGCGAGGTGCAGCTGCTGGGCAACTACGTGAATCTGGGCGTGCACAATGCGGGATCTTTCGGAACGGTCAGCAGGCTGAGCTCGGTATACTCCACAAAAAAATTAGGACTCATCGCTGACTACGACAAGAATGGATTCGGAACTGCCGCCTCCCCGGGCTTCTCTGGCGACTACTTCGTCCCTGGTATTCCTCTCGAGGGGTGGCTCGTGAGCTACACCCCTGATAAAGAGTCCACCGTGTATATAATGAATGAGGGCCTAATGAACGTGCAGGATATTCTACCCTCGAAGCTTAGTGTGACTTCTGACGGGGAGGCCCAGTCCGTGTTGTGGGCGGGGAGTAAGGGGGGCGTGGAGATCAAGAAGGTCGTTCTCCTCGGCAACAACAAGCTCTACTTCACAACCACCGTTGTGATTAAGAATATCGGGCCGACAGCGTGGACGAACTTCTATTGTAAGTTTC